CATTATCATTCATATGGCATGTTGATTGGGTGAACATAAATAAATATTTTGTAAGAAAATTATTAGTGTAAGGTGGGGTAACAGGTAGACTAGTATACTCGTTAAATAAAAATATATATTTTTGTAATTTTTAAATAATGACATTTCTTATGAACAATATAAAGTGATAATAATTAAATTTGAAGATAATATCATGAGACGATGCTCTACAGTATAATCCAAACGTTTACAAATAAAAAACATGACTCTATTGTTGCCTATCTAGCCCTTCAAACTAGGACAATAAACGAGTCGAATTGAGTCGGACATTATTTTTGTCGATCTTAACTCAAATTCTATTATTGGTGCTTGGAATCGACTTCGACCTGACATTTTTTGACAAAGAAATTAAATAAATGCTCGAGATTGGATTCAAATTCGGTTGAACTCTGACTCAAGCTCGACTTAAAGATATGATTCCATGTGTTTGAAGCCCTACTTCTAAATCTTTATTCCTTACTCATTTAACTTTTACCGTCAATTTATAAACCAATTATTATTATACTAATCAACTACATTTAAAAAAACAAAAAACTGAAGTGAATGAATAAAGAAAAAGACTAACCAACGGTGGCGGAGTTAAAGGTGGTGCTGCCGCCCCTCACGCTCCGGCTCCCCGTGATAATGGTGTTTGTCCGCCCGTCCCCAACAAACATCAAATTCCTCCTATTCCTCGGTATCACCACGTTCTCCCGGTACACTCCTGCCCGTATCCTTATCACGTACCTCCGGCTGCTCCCCGCCGGCGCCGCCGCCACCGCCGCCGCCACCGTCCGGTAGTCTCCGCTCCCGTCAGCCGCCACCGTCACGTCAGCCCTGACAGTCGTTGCCTGCAGCAACCGCCTGTCCCCCACCGAAAGCCACTCCGGCCACTCCCCAAGGTTCCTCTCCGGCCGGATCGCCGACACACCGCCGACGGCGGCGGCGGCAGCCGCCTCCGCGTCTGAGAGGTTGCTGATGATGGCCATGACGTTGGAGACGAGCTTGAAGACGTGCTTCTGGCCGGCGACCAGCGCGCGGCGGACCACCTCGTCGGCGCCGCCGTGGGAGAAGCCGTCGAGGCAGGACTCCTGGTTGGTCTGGGCGGCGCTGAGGAGAGTGAGGAGGTTTTCCTTGTGGCGGGGGAGGGAGTAGTTCCGGTAGCCGAAGTCGGCCAGCTCCGCCTTGCTCCCCCGGAGCTCCTCCAGGGTGTCGTCGATCACCTCCAGGCAGTCGTGGAGAGCGCAGGTCTCGCGCGGAGTCAGGGAGCCGCGGCGGCTCTCGCCCACGCGCCGGACGGTGAAGTAGTTGCGCTCCACCGTGAGGATGGTGTAGTTGAGGGCGGTGAGGAGGACGTCGCGGGAGGTGCGGATGGCGGAGGGGGGCGGCGCCGCCGCCTGGATGGTGGAGGCGCAGAGGTCGGGGTAGAGGGTGGCGGCGCAGGTGGAAACGATGACCTCGTGGGCGGCGGTGGCGGCGGCGGCGGCGCGGGAGACGGAGGAGGTGCGGCGGTGGGGGCGGGAGGCGCAGGCTGCGGCGACGGTGGCGACGACGAGGAGGGTCGCGGCGGCGGATAGGATGAGGATTTTTCGGCGCTTGGTTTTGTGGGATTTTTCGGGTTGGGTGTAATTTTCCATTTGGTGTGAGGTTATTTTGGGGAAATTAGATATAATATCTGTGCTAGCAGGGAGAATATGGGAATGTATCGTGTCGGCGGAAAATATGGCAAAAGGCATGTAATGTTTTTGTGTCTTAACGAACTTGGCTTATATAAAATCCGATGGTCACACTGTTTTTTTATTTATTTACTATTTTCAATTACGTATTTATTTTCTATCTTTCTGATGAATTAATTTTTAGTGAAAAAAAGCCATGCTACAGAGAATAGGCACAATCGTATTTATATTTTATTTTCACATTTTGTCATTTTATTTTAAGGCACTATTACTGTATTACATATCATGAAGTCTCTTATGGACATTTGGACTATTTAAAGGTTAATTAAGTCTTTTGGATTTAGATTTATAGTGAGGCTTCTATCATACGACTTAACGTTCAGACTACTGCATACTTTTTCAACATATACATATACGGTTAAATAGAAATTAAATACACTTTAAAATAATAATGTAAATAGTAATATAATTTTAATTTTTTTTAAAGGGGTGTGAACATATTAGGCTCATGGAGTGGCTCTTAATGATTATATTAGGCATATTTAGTTTGGAACCAATTTTTTTCAATGAACGTATTAAATTAAACCATTATGAATAACAAGAGAAACTTATATTTAAGTTTTCTCATCATAAGTTGTATTATTATTAATATTAGAAGTATTTCACTAAGATTATAATTATTACTTTCTAAAATAGATTCATGCATGGAAAGGCCCACAATAATACTGAAATTTATATTTATTTGATGGAAAGGCCCAAATTTTATATCATGCAACGTTTTTTGTGTTGATTTTTGTTGCTGTTATGGTCCTCGTTCGTCCATATTGTAGTTTATCATATTATGCTTTTGAGGTGAAAAACGTGTCTTGTGAATGAGTAGGATAATGTTTCAATTTTCCACCGTATCAAAGTTGACATTAGACCATAAAGCCGCGATGAGTAAGGAATCATACACTCATTAGAATATATATGAACATATATCAATTATAAGTTTACATTTATATTTTTTATTAATACATATGATATGTTATGAATCAATTAATTTAGGATACATACCTAAATTGTGGTATTATGAAAAAAAAACTAATATGGTATTTTTCACATTATTTTATGTTTTCAATAAATCAAACTACTTAATAATAATTTTTTCTCAAAAAATAAATTAAAAATCAAAGCATATACAAATTAACTCGATTTCGTTTTCCTTAAATATACTCTATTTTTGAAAAAATCATAAATAATAAAACAAAGATAGACCAGCATTGTCAAGTTGGGTCAAGTAGCTCATGTCCGCATTTGTGCTCGTTTAATAAATGAACCAGTTCAGCGTGGCTCGACTCTTTTAATAAACTAGTCAAAAGCTCGACTCGTTTAATTTCGTGAAAGCTTGATCCGATTTGGATTTTCAAAAAACTTCAAATTGTTGTTGATTCGCGCGTTTACAAGCATACTCGATTCAGCTATTTATTCAAAATCTAAAAAGATGTTGCTCGCCAACTAGCTTGGTCTGACTAAATTATTTGAACAAACTTAAATAAATTGTTCGAGCTCAATCATATTTTATTTTAAGCATACAAACCAATTGAGCTCAAATTTTTACATGTCAGAACGGAAGTTTCATTAATATCAACTCTAGTCCTAGCCTCCTTAAAGCGGAGCTGCACTCATTGTCGAGTCAAAGTCTTCATTTAATTTATACTAAATATTTCCTCTTACGAAACTCCGTTTAGTAATATTGCAATTGAAAAAGAACTGGAAAACGGAAAGTATAAGAAAAAATGTGGCACGTCGCTTTTTATCCAGCTCACGTATAAAATATAAAAAGCCGCCATGCAATGGGTCCCACTCATCAAATAATTGCCACCAACGTTACGTGGGACCAATCGCTTTGTTTTTTTGCCTTTAGGACATTTCAAACCACATGGGAGCATAATTCGCACATTTTAAAAAAAAAAAAAAGGAAATATATTAGCATCTTCATGACTTTTACCTTTCGACATATTTTTTTGGTGTGGAAATTAAAGGGGATGCTGCCAGTCCACTTGACTTATAAATAATAAGATATATTTTCATTGTGGTATAAATTATGCATTATACGGTAGATCTGCAGTTTGACACGCTTAACCATAAGATGGTTATATATTTTTTTTTTTTTGATAAATATATATACTTTAGTATTTAAATATTATATACTAAGAATATCTTAAGCACAAATGTTACATTTTTAAAAAGTAAGCGTATGAAGATTCGATCCGTCTAAGCATTAATATGCCTCGGTGTAGAATTTGTAAATACTAGTACGTACCCCGTGCGATGCACGGGAGAGAGATATTAAATGAATTATTTTCACAGGCTCTATCCGTTTAAGTCTGAGAAGGGTTATTATCTATTTTCCACCTATTTTAATCACCGTTAAGTCTCGTTTAAGTCTGAAAAGAATTATCATCTATTTTCCACCTCTTTTAATCACCGTTAAGTCTAAAAAAATAGGGTTGTAATCTATTTTTCACATCTTTTAATCAGTGTTGTTTTATTAGTCAGAACATTAAACGTGAGCATGTTAGGGCTAACTTGTAAAATAATTAATATATTATCTCACTAACACATTTATACTAATATAAATTTAATTTTATTATATATATTTATTCCTTGATATAAGAGAAAATAACTATTTTACTTATTCTTATTCACTATATAATAGTTAATTATTAAACTCTGTTGCCATATAATGTCATTATTATTTATAAAGTTATACAAGTTGCACGTCTTCTTGTTCTTTTTATTTTATGTAATGAAATATATTTAATGCTTGTTGGTATTATTTATATAAGTAATCAATTTAAAATTAAATAGTGTATAAATAATGTACAAAATATACACATATATTTTTTTAGAATTTTCTGTACAAAAATAAAGCAACAACTTCCACATTTTAAGGAAATCAATTAATGTTGGTCTGTTTTTTCTAAGAAAATAATAAATAAATAAATTATAATTAATGGAAAGTAATTAATGATGAGAGAATTTGACCATATCTATTTTTAAAAATCGTAACAGAAAANATAAATATCATTTTGGCTTTATCAACAATTGTCTAAATAAATGACGTTTTGGATTTTTTGTACATATTTTTTCATTATTACCGTTATCTAGCTAATAAATACACTAAGTCTTTTCATATTCACTCTTTATCTTTTCTCAAAACATCTATCTCTATCCTCATTAATGAGGGTTATTATTGATAAAAAAAAATATTCTTAATTAGTGTGCAACTTCCGAAAACGACATCTAATAAAAAAAAGGAGGGAGTATTAAATAAAACTGTATAATACGAAAATAATAATGGCAATAAATGTTGTTGACTTTTCTAACTACTAAATTTGGTAAATAGTATTCCCTTTAATATAAGTATAGATTATAAATTAAAAATCAATTTAAATAAAAAAAAACTTTAAAACATAAATATTCATATTTATTGAAAAAGTATTTAGAGAAGCATAATTAATTCATAATCACAAATTCTGGTGTGAGACAGTCTAACCGTTAAAGAAAAATGGGAATAACGGATGGGGCCTAGTTGTACTAACTGGTATTGATTGTAATTACTCAATTAATGATTTTGACACTTAATGAATTCAGTTAAAGATGTTTGGTTCTTCACATTTAATATCATCATTATGAATATTTATTTTATAGTATATACATAAAAGTTGGATGACTTACGGTTATGGTACGAACGGCTTGTTCCATATTAAAGTAAGGTTGAAGATTTGTGACCGGCATGACTCGATTAATTTCTAAATTGATTTTAAACTTATAGATATATGTATTCAATCATAAGTTTGATTTAAGGTGCGCGCTTAAAGTAGTTCTTTGGGTTTCGACACTTATATGGTCCAAGTGGGAGAATGTAATAATATTTTATATTATTCTATTATTGTGGACCATATAATTAGTTGGACCTAATTGAATTAATAGTCAAACTTAACGGAAATGCTAAGGAGCCATCCGATGGCTCCTTAGCATTTCCGTCAAACTTAATTAAGTTGAATATGTATTTAATGAATTACTAATGTTCTAATATTAAAGAATCTAATTTGTGATGTTTGACTTGGACAATAAGTTAGATTGGAACATGAGGAATGTGAGTAGGATTAGGATTGTAGGTCTTCTCCTATATATATTTTGTGATGTTTGACTTGGACAATAAGTTAGATTGGAACATGAGGAATGTGAGTAGGATTAGGATTGTAGGTCTTCTCCTATATATATTACTACATGCCCCTCTCTCTCGGCTCATATACGAAAATAAAATTCTCAACATCAAGGACTTTATGGAAAGACGAGAGACGCGGGAGAGAGAAACAATTCATATGCAAAGACAAACCCATCATTGGAGATTACGAGAAAGGGGATCGTAGATTAACATCATAGATCAAGAAAATAAGGAAGGACTATAAGCTGGACTTTTGTAAGGTCTATGTGCAATTTAATTAATGCAAAGATCCATATTCTATGAATTGATAGAACTGCATGCTTAGAGTTTTCAATTCCGCCTAATAGTTATGAGTATGCCCGTCAAATTTCTTACATAAGGAACATACTATATAGAGTATACACAATCTGTTATAAGGTTTCAATCGTTTGGAAGACCATATCAGTCCGACAAGATCGTTTAGAAGTACATATCCATATAGAACTGAATAAAAAAGATCAGAAGCATATAAATTCATGAAATCTGGTACTCTTCCACTTTTATATTGATTGATTCATAATTATTTGACATGAATGAATTTTGGGATTGGATTAATTTTATTGGGCTTTGATATATACCAACATACTTATCCTAAATCCTACCACAAAACAAAGCCTAATATTTTTTGTAATAGTAAGATAGTTCTTCTTTTTATTTTTTTGCAATATGCTTAAATATTGCAAATAATAATCGAAATGGAGAAAAAAAATCCAATTTAAATAATAATGAATCTGAAAAATGCTTCCTTTTCAAGTACTTGCACTTCTGTCCACTTCATTTACAGTCTTTCATTTTTGCAATTAAACATATTTAAATCTTGGCAAGGACAGTAGGTATAAACATGGAAATTGGAATAGACCCCTACATGATATTTGGCTTTAGCTTGAATTGCTCAATTAAATTACTAGAATAATGCTTCACTCAGCACCTACATGCCTTATTAATGAAGGTAGGTGACCGTAATTGTCTAACGTCTCGATGTGAAAATAAAA